CAGTCGGTACTGTTCACCTTCTCTTACTGGGCAAAGACTGTGCAGAGAATAAGTCCTTTCCCTTTCCAGCACCGTTACAACAGAGTGACGAGGGTCTTCTTCATAAGCAACACATTCTTTTCGAGCCCAATAGCTGGCTGCCGACTCACTGGCAAAAGCTGCCTGAGTTTCAGTGAAAGGAATGCAAAAAGCTGAGACCACTCATCTATTTATATCAGAGCCACCACAATCCTTCAGGGACGGCTAGCCGCTCCCACTTCTCCTTCACATACTGAGGTTACCCTTGCAGTCCACACAGCCCTCTCCATCTTGCTCAGCGAAGCATGTGGATGGAGGGAGCTCCGCACCATTCAGCACGACTTTGCTTACCCACTGCAAGGAGGGGGCTGCAGATCAGACCAGAAACAGCCAGCCTGCTGCTGCAGGAGCCCCACTCCGGTCTCTCACTATGACCCTCCCCTGCAGCTGGCCTGAGCCAAACCTGCCGAGCTGACGGGAAAAGCTCTAGCGATAAGGAACTTTACAACAGGGGGGCTGGACCCCACGATCTTGCAAGGTCCCTTTCCAACCCCTAACATCTCTGAACTTGCATTGCTGGGCTGGAAGGGTCCTGCTGCCCACAGGTCTTCCGCAGAGGCATTCCCATTTCCTAAACCAGTCAGGGTACAAATATGCATTGTATTTTAAAACATACATAAGCATTTCTTCCTATACTCAGGAGCCCCTGCATGCTTTCTGATGCACAGGGGCCCATTTTTGTGTGGCATTGAACTGAAAAAGTGCTCAGGAGACAGGAACGTCCTGTGCTGCAAGAGTCCTGGCTCTTACACAGAGGATAACCCCAGAACTCATGGTGCCGCAGGAACCAGATTCTTTCCCAGCAGCTGTGGGAGCCCTTACCTGTCCTTGTGGACACGCAGGGGAATTGTGGGGAGACAGGGGAGGGCTGTCATGCAGCGAGCAATAAGCATCCTCACTGCGGAGTGGGCAGGATGTCATCCTCCTAGGCCAGAGTTAAAAATACCACCCAGCACGGGAGGGAGAAGGTGCGCGCTCCCCCACTCAAGTTAATTCTGCAGCAAAGGTGCACTTACTAACAGCATCGAGCTTCCCCCAACTGATCTGTCCCTTGGGGCTGTCCATTTCCTGCTCCTCTGGGTCTTACGCTATGCACTACCGCGCATGGGCTGAACTTCTCTGCTGAGGAACAAGACAAGCAGCAGCACAAGTCACGGCGGAAACGTTGCTTCCTGAAGAGCGACACTTTTGCAGTGTAATGAAGACAGGTGTGGGCGAGAGCCACCGACTACTCTCAAAACCAGCCTTTGGTTTTTCTCTGTCAGTGAAGCCATGTGCTCAGACCAGCCACAGCACACTGCAGCTTTTGGGGTGAAGTCCAATTACCCTATTTTATTCACTAAGAAAGTTGTGGGGGGAGGCTGATTTTGTTTTTTATGGAGTTTAACATAGAGCACTCTTGCCCACAACCAGAGCACCCAGACCCTAGATGAAAAAAAATCCCACTAGGAGAGAAAAAATTTACCAGTCTGCCCCGCAGCAGCTTAGGAAATCACATGGCTTTATCCACCCGTGTGCACAGCATTTGAGGCAAGGCAGAGGGGTGGAAGAAACCCTGCCCAGCCCTGGGTAGCACACCCAAGCTTCTGAGTTGAGAAGCTCCTCTGACGAGACTCCTTCACGGGCTGAGGCAAGGCTCCAGCTGCACTCGCACTGCACTACCGCGGCCGAGGCTATGGGCACAAGCCCTGCAGCATCAAGGGCTTGTGCTTGGCAGGTTGTGTCTACAGGTGGATCTCTCCAAGTCCGTCACTGCTGTGATATCCAGTCTAATGCTGTCAAACGATCTCTGCTGAATCTGATCAGACACCTGTGGCGAAGTCTATGGAACAAAGCACCGGGAAGGATTAAACACCACAAGGTTCCTTATTGAAAAGGAAGATCTGTGCAAGTTACACATGGGTTACAAACTTTTGCCTTGTGTAATGGGTCACAACTGCTTTAGATCCCTCCGAGAACTGAGTGTCATGCCACATCAGGGATGGAGAAGAGGAACATGTAGTACCATTGGGGTAAAAGAGAAACAGGAGGACACAGATTAAGTGATTTTTTTCAGTGTTGGTCAGTGGAAAACTAGGAGTCGACTCCATGACAACACCAGTCCATGACAGTACTAGTCAGCCAATATATTCTTCCTCTCAAGGCAGACAGAAAGCCTCTTTGAGTGGACAGACAAGGTTCCTTGGGTGAATTTGATATCTTTTACTAGACCAACCCAAATGGTTGGAGAATAGTTATTAAGCAAGCTTTCGGGTTCAAAAACCCTTCGTCAGGCTCAGGAAGCTGCAGCAGTTGGTGTGTGCTCTTCCTGGATGGAAGTGTCTTTGAGTGGACACTTTTCCATAACCCCCTAGAGTCCACCTCACCTCACCTGGGGTAGAAAGAAAGTGACTTTCCTTAGGTCACAGCAAGTCAGACAGACAACGGACGCATTTCCAGCTCCGCTATATAGTTAGTGCACTTCAAACTATATTTTAAACATCCGAAGCAGAACCAGGGCTGTACCTCAAACCAGCGTGTTGTAAAACAGCCCGCTGTGACACAAAACAGTGACCCACGTTGGTAATACAGAGATCTATTTTATTAAAAAAGTTACAAACAGGTGGACTGTAGGGTTGTCTTACAAAATGACAAGAATGAAATCTATTGGAAAAAACTTTTTACAAAGCATTATAGGTAATTGTTCAATTTTTGCACTTGTTATTCCAGATTTCACCTATCACTGATAGAGATACAGTACATTAGATACAGGATGTTCGGTTACATGTTGTTTGCAGAGCCCTACTGCAGTGATTTGAACAACTCCTAAAACAGATGCCATAGTAAAGACAATACATATATTGCATTTATTATTAGCCTCGTATTCTAATAAGCAACTTCACATGCAATCTATTGAGGAAACCTAACATAACTTTTGGTCCTTTTATTCAAAGTGTGCTGAAGAAACCATCTTTATCTCATTTTCCCCATTCCTGGCTTTCTAAGCTAGTTCAAGTTTTTTTTATTATTTTTTCATTTTTGCTGAGGTCAATGAAAATGAACACTTTTCTTTGATAAAACTACCCATAGGAATGAACCACCAATTAATATCAACCCAACCGTCTCCCCCCCTCAGACAAAAGGAAAACTAAGATCTTCATTACTTGTATTTCCTAGTACTTCTTACATCTACTAAAAGAACAACCATCACCACTTAAATCTACTCTGAATACAGGGTTTGGTTTAATTCTGGTATTAAAGTGCAAACCTAAATAAGTATTGGCCTCAGCCTGTTTTATGAAGTTTGTACAAACAGGGAAAAAATATTTCAAGTAACCCCACAGTAAATCAGATGTTTTGATATCTAAGATAACATTTCAAGTTTTCGGCTTATCCGGATTCAAATTCAACACTATGAAGATAATCAAAATCTTGATTGCTGCTAAATACTGCAAGTCTCAGGAATCTCCATTATATTATTCAATAAACCATATGAATGCCAAGATACTAAACTGGTAATCTCATTCGTAGTTGTGTTTGAATGCCATCCTCCACAATGCACTGAGTTTAAAAATGCTTAACCTCAGAAATCCATCACTGCTTTTACTGGAGCTTTTCTGGTCAAAGTTACCCAGCTGGTACAGGGAGAAAGTGTACAGCAATTAGAAGCATGTTCAAATGACTAAAGGTGGGCTCCTAAAAACCTAGAACTTTGGTGCAGTAGGTGAGCTGCAGTTATTCAACGTCTGCAAAAAAAGTACGCGTTTTAAACCACTGCTAGTAAAAGCTCTCACGTCCGCAACGTCTGTGTTAATAAAACTCAACGAAAAGGTTCTGTCTGTTCTTTACACATTTTCATTCTGCTTTTTATACCTGTGTTACTGTTAACATTTTCAAGTATTCAGACAAAATATGTTGATCAGGTAAACAATATGGAAGGCAATGGCTGTTTAAAGCACACCTGCAGTTAGTATCACTGAAACCTGGTGCTCTTCTCCCCTTGCTACACTGACTTGTCTCCAATGTTAACTTGTTTACTGGGAACAACTAAAAAAAAAAAAAAAAAGCCATGTGACAGGAAAAGAAAAAGTTTAACCAATATTGCTTTAAAATAGTATTCAGAAAGACAAATATTTGGAACTATAAAATGTAAAGTGATTTTATTTGCATTAGATTTACATGTGCAGAGGTCCACTGGATGTCACTGAACGTGCCAGGCAAAAGCAGAGCTCACTCTGGTCGGGCACACAGCCCACCCTGGAGGATACGGATACACTATCCCTTTTCAAAGGCGCGCTGAAGCAGGTCATGAACTAGCAAGTTTAGAAACTTCGCAGTTGGGAAAACTTCACTGCTGCATTTCAACACGATAATTGCCATGAATCCAAGTAGTCTGGAAACCCAGGATTGCAAAGAACACATAGTTTGGACTCTACAGCCCGTTCCAAATAATCAAATAGTCATATCAGGCCAATTGCAGATACACTACACACAGGCTGCATTTGCTGAGAAAAGGGATATTACATCCATACAACATCAGAGGTGCCTTCAGTATCGTCCCATGACACTGTCACGCGTAAACATAAAAGTTTCAAAGTATGACCAACTACATTGTAGGAGAAAACTTTGCAAACAGAATTAAGCACTGATGCGAGGTAATATACAGAAGTAACCATTTGCTTAAGGCTCAATTTTTGCTCCATTAAAACTTTCTTTTAAAAAGGCATTGAGTAGGTAATACTGAGTTTAAGTATTTAATAAATACAAGTTCAGAAATTGATTAAAGAAATCAATTAAACTATTAAAAATGAATTCTTGCATATTAGCCGTTACATGAACTCAGAAAGCTATAAAAGGATCGATAGGTAAAGAACAGATTTTAACATATGGTAAACATGCTAAGCTTTCCTGTTTAAGGTCCATGGATCTTGAAGGCCACTGACCTTACGCACTTCGATGTATGGCAACGTGCTGTAATAGAGACAGGTTTACCAAGGCTCAGCTCTGCAACCTGGGCTGAAAGAGTTCTCCAAAGCAGCATCTGTGCAAGTTTCCTCTGAGTTTTATCTGCAATTTAACAACACACACAGTTAATGAAAAGCCACGTTCACATCTCTGGACGCTCAAAATGGAGTCGGCTTTTCCAGGATGCATAAGAGCCGATTGTCATGCTGGAAAAAGTGTCAAGGGACCACCTTTTGCAGAAATTTTCATTAAAAGCTTGTTCCTGTTTTTCACTTGGTCCCTACTTGGCCTTCTAATATTGCCAGAACCACTTTGCTCCCCTACCGGAGTTGCCCCGCACTGTGGATCCTGCGTCTCTGCTGCACGGAGCTCCGTGGGGCGAGAGCTAAGTGCAGGGATAGTTAAATAATTATGCCAATGCAACAGCAACAACAATCAGTTCTGTAATACACAGCACCTAACTGCAGCATCTGTGCGCCCTTGAGGAATTGCTTCAGACGGGAAAAGTCATTAAAATACATCTGAAAAGTTACGGTCTTTAAAAAGCTCCGTCAAGGCTGTTCGGAGGCACACTGGAAGCCACGCTACTTTAAGGGAAGTTTTCGGGGAATTCTGAAAGTGGGGAAAAGGCTTCCTGTTTTGGCCGGCTTGACTTGTCATGGTATCACAGCCTTTCGAGTTACCCTTTGCTTTTGTTCCTTGCCAGCCACCAGCTGAAAGCATAAAAGACCAAGTAGTGCGATGACTAAGCATTTACCAGTTTGAGCGACTGACGGACCCCAGCAGAGCTTTTCTCTACTAGATCAGGGCACAAGGAATAACGCCCCGAGCGTTTCAGACGTAGGTGCCGACTGTGAAAACTCGTGGGTCTGTTAAGTGCAGGTCTCCATGCTGCTGCAAATCTAATGCCTGCTGCCCTCCTTGTAAGCAAGGAGTCCAACATGTGGTCTGAGCTGGACTCGTACAAAACAACGTGGCACTGCCATGCTTAAAGGGCATCCTAATATTGGTGGACTTGGTTACCACAGTGGGAAGTGATTAGGAAACCTTCCTAGTGCAGACAGGGCTTCAGAGCGAATAGGTGGCCCCTAAGTATTACTGGGATTATAACTTAGATGGGCATGTCATGGGCAAATAAAAACACGTCTTTCCTAGCCTATTTATTGCTAAGGCTGGTAAGCGAACCTGATAGCTTTGCGAGGTGGCGTAAGGCAGAACGTATATTCTGGAAGTTTTCAAGAGCTGCTGGGACAGACACTTGGCTGGGATGGTTTAGCCAGGGATGAGCCTGCCTTGAGCAGGGGGCTCCTTTTGGCCTGACTGTCCTATAATCAAGTTCCGATTCTAGGGGGGAGTCCATTGGCATAGCTCCTACGAGGGTCCAGTTACTCCTGCATGAGGAGGTGCAGGAGTGACCGGGTGTTACCACAGAGATGGCTCGTCAGGAGACGGTGCAGGATCTCGGGCAGTGGAATTATTTGTCATATCTTTTTAGGGAAGTTTTAAGCCAGAGATGAAGCACGATCAGATGGAGGAACCAAAAGGGGAAGTGCCAGAACAAGTCTGTAAAGTAATGATGTCAAGGCCAGATGCAATGCATCTGCAGGAGTTCACGAACAAGGCGGGCACTACTAGTAAGAGCCCGCTAGCATCAGTGCCTGCTCCCAACACTAGGGAAGGGAGCTGTGGCACCTCTACTTTGAAATGCATGGGAGACAGGTGTGGAGCCCTGTAAGTACCACAAGGATTAGTCACAG